GAGAAGGCCCCCTCATCTTCAGTATTACCGCTAAAACTTTCTACTTAATGTGCATATCAAATGATCTTCCCTATACTTTTCACTATAAAAAAGATCAATTAACCATAGCGCAGGTTTTTTTAGTTTTTATTAAAAATGTCGCTTATTCGATATTTCATTCGATAAATGACTATTCATTGGGTGTTAGCTACGATACTTTCTAAGTTGGCGAATATATTCGTGTTCGGTAGCTTTTCTCGATTTCGACACGTCTACACCCACAGAAAAAGTTTCCGGATCCAATGCTATTACACTTGAATGTATATCATAAAATAGGATCGATATAGCGCCAATCATATTTGTTATAGAGAAAGGAATATTTTAAACGTACTAGAAACGACAAAACGCGCGCTTCGCGCGCGCAATCTATGGTTGAGCATTGTATATTTTTAAGAATTTGTATACATGCAAAGAAGTAATTGTATGCGCAACGTCAATTCAAAATAAAAAGTAATTTATCACTCACTGATACAATTCGCAACAGCAGAGTTGTACATCATCAACTTATATGGTAAACTGTAAAAATACAAATATGTATATGATTAGTATAGACTAATTATGTAAAATTGAAATTATTGTATTAAATATACTTTATATTTTATATTCTTTAAAATAGGTATTTATTAAAATAATTATATAGAATACTGAAAAAGTCTTTCTTTTAAATATGAACTCACAAAATTGTATACGTATGGTTTTGTCTCTAACTTATTCGAATCCTCGTTCGAATCATTTGAGTAAGTCAAATAAAATTACAGAACAGATACTTTATTTCGCACAAGTAACAGATAACATAAAAATGTAAGACACTTACCTCACGTTTTTCCCGCCGTTGCCCGATGCCTTCTAGACCTGCTCCTTTTCTCAGATTTCCTTGTTGCACTTACACAACACTCACTCGCGAAAAGCATCGATCGCGCGAAATTTCGGACACTCCCGTACGCGATGTGAGATACCGCGAAACGCACGAAAAATTAAAGAAAGACAGAGCGAATTACAGCGAGAATGCCGAAATCGCACAAATTTCTCTCTTTTCCCGATAATAGAACGGATTACACGAAATCGATAGATAATTAAAAGCGCGGTGCGTAAACGAGATGTAACCGCGACAAAGTACCACGGTTTACGTTCATAGTTTAGATGAGTCAGTCTCGTGAAATATCTAGGTGTACGTTGATAAAGATCCGTCGCCTCAACATACAATTCGTCTCTCTTTGCAAGTTGTCGAAACTTAGTAATTAGTCAAGGAACGTTACTTGTTACTGATAAAGGTGTGCAAATCAATAGTGGTTTATCCCTGCGTTCATCGCGATCGAGTCTTGGAAGCCGATAACGGAAAAGTAATAACACGTACGGAGCGACTTTCGCCACTGCTTGCCGGCTCGACGTTCGGCGAGCGAGTGATAGCGCGACCTTCAGGTACACGATGGCACGCAAAAACATCGTACGTCACCGCGCGCCGAGTGAAAAACAACAAAAAAAAAACGTTGAGAATTCGTTGGCCCGCTTAATCGTCGTACGATACCGCGCCGAGTGAAAAACAACAAAAAAAACGTTGAGCCTGCCTACGCAATGGAAAATTCCGTACTTAATATTTTATTGTACATTACTTTGTTCCGTCTTTGATTGACAATATAGCCAGTCAATCTTTTTTAATTCGATAGAGGAGAATAAGAATTATTGATCTTACTTGGATATTGTCTTATTTTGGTAATTATTCAGTATAGCTACACCACCTCCAAAATCAATCAAATTGGTCTCATTCGACGCGTTTTTCGACGAGAAACAACTTTTTCCTTAGACAAAATCGTCGCTCTGCCCTGCGAAGCGAGATATTAATTGTTAAAGTTGACAACTTTTAGGGTTAGGAAATCTGTCATACCGACGAAATCAGACTAAATGCACATCATATGCAGTGACGTATTTCCACGTGAAGCGAGATCCACTCCACACTTCAGACATGGTTTGGGTAGGGTTAGGTTAGCTATTCTGAATAATTACCCTTATTTTTAAACTAAATGAGGTTGTGAGAAATATAAATGCGTCGAGAATATTTTTTGTCAGTAACAGAAATCCTTTCCGAGGGTGTAATTTCGTGACTGCGTATCGACTCTTCGCTTCCGCGAGAAAGCCGCCACGTCGAGAGGGAAAGAGGCGAACACGTGTGTCACCGTTCGCGTATCGGAGCGAAGCCCGCGCCCCGTCCCGCCGCGACTCGCGGCCACGTTCGTTTCACTCGCTCGCACACCTCGCTCCCTCCGCGGACGAGCGATTCACTCCAACTTTACGCACCGACACTCACGCGACCGTTACGCGGCATTTGAACTCGCGCGCGTGCAAGCGGCGATCATTTCCTCTGTTCTCCCTCCCTCACTCTCTCTGACGAGGAAAACTGACTCGATTTCCTCTTCTTCTCCCGCTTTCGTTCCTTCCGCATGAAATCGCTACCTGTTCAACGAGCACGATATACACCAACATACCTTGAAAACGTCAAGCTCGCGCTATGGCGTCCACGAATGCGTCCCACGCGTCCTGTGAGGGCTGCGACCGCGGGGTCGATAGGCCTTCGTTACTTTCGCGCCAGCGAAAAACCACCGGAGATTGTTATCACGTCGCGTTATCGATTCGCCCGCAATTCGCTCGCGACGGTGAAACCGGAGAAGCCGACCGGCCGCGCGCGCACGTACGTCCGCTCGACGAGAAGGATCGTCCGCGAGAGAAACAGTCACTGACACCGAGCGCGCGAGCCAGCGGCAACGAGAAAGCGCAGGGGCGACACGTAAACCACGGCGGCGGCGTGGACGGGTGGACGGATGGACGGAAGGACGAACGCACGCACGCACTCGTTGCACGCGCGGGGCGCGACGCGGCAGCGAACGACCTATACTTCGCAGCGGACGGCGGCAGACTGATCGGCAGCGGCGCGCGCGTTGCCGCGCAAATACGAAGCTGCGCGGGGGTCGCGGAAGCGCGCTGTGCGCGCCGCGTCTCAAGGGACGTCCTGGCCCTTGTATATTTGCGAGGAAGGGAGTCAATTCTGTGTCCTACAATATGGTGAAAATGCTACGAGTCAGCGGCTTCGTCTCTTTCTCTCGTCTCTTAACGGGGACGATTAGAAAGAGGCAAAGCTATTCACTTTTTAGCATTTTCACCATAGTGCGAGATATAGAATTGAAAGATACATCGACCCCCCAGATCCACGGTCCGATAGATTGTTGCTTCGAAGCGTTCTTCTTCTTTCTTTATTAAAACGGAGTTTTAGAGAGAAAAAAACCGAGATTTCTATCGCCATGGAATTGAAAATTTAAACGGAATTCTGTCATTGGGATATCAAGTCCTATTTGCAAAATTTATAAGGCGATCCAGCACGCGTTTTATAGGCGAAAACAGATTAGAGCCACGAAAAATTTAAAACCAACTCGGTCGGAGAAAAGTTAAGACGGAAAGTTGTGATGGAAAATATAATTTTGAATTGAAGTTGAGGTGTCACACTTTTGTCTGGTTTCAAAAGCGTCTCTAAGAAACCGCATTACTCGTTGAGTCGATACTTTCTTACAAGATAGCGAAAGGAAGCTTACGGTTGAGGAAATTTATACTTCGCGAGATGCACGATCGTTTCCGCGAAAAAGCCCCTGCGACGATCGAGACGGACATTAAATGCCCGGAGAAATATTCCGGGGTGAAACGTGCTGGAGAGATCGACTGTGAAAATTTTGACAAACTTTCCCGATGGAATGAATGAACAGAGAATGACCGAGAGTTGTGTGTAGACGTTGTTCTTTCGTTTAACATATCGACAATTGTTCGTTTTTGTAAAAAAAAAGCCTGTTGAAATGTTATATCGAGCAATAGAAAATAGTTCAGCGCGATTCAAATTTGAAAACGCATCTTTACGGAATATCATTGAATTCAAGAACGTATTTCGACGTGCGATTGGCTAATGACGAATTAGAACTTGACTCTCCCTTACATCAATATCATGAATGTACGATTCGATGAATTTTGGGAATTTACAGTTGAAAGAGTTCACAATTTTTCACTCAAAAAGTGAAAATTGGCACATTCATTTTGCCATAAGGACAATATTTTATGAACTATTCTAAACTTTTCGAACAAAATGTTGGAGCAAATCAATGAAAATAAATACATAATAAAAATATAAACGTGTTATCATTAAATCGTTGTCCTTTTTATAATTGCGTGTAATTAAATTAGTTAATTAAAGGGAATCTTCTAATATTGTACGAAACGAAGAATGAGAGGTACAAGCAGTCGCAATCAATGAATCCAACATTTTATTCAGCAATAATTGCGAACACGATGAAAAATCGCTCATCTAATTCACGACATAATATTTGTGATCCACTTATAATACCTCGAGTATCGCTTACAAGTCTTTTCTCTTTCGCACAACGTGAACTGTCAAAGATCCGATAAATTCTAAAGAGTCGTAAAAAGTTGCGAAAACGAAATTTCAAGTATCCGTAAAGTGAAAGGACGCTTCGATTAGATGATTGACTCGTTTGCGCCCTAGCCGGAAAGATCTTCTCGAAATATGTACAATTACATTTTATTTTTCACGGACAATAAACGCATCGTGCTCGTGGAGGCACCGACGCGTTCTTATCAACGAGAGAACGAGAACAACGACGAATTTTGATTAGAAAAAGTATTTAAAAATCTTCAAAACGGCCAATGTCCATTTCTACCGACGTAGAATAACTTTTAATCTTGGTGTAACTTATTTTTTTGTCCTTTTCTACTTCTAAAAATTAGAAACAGATAAAAAGTAAGTTGAACCGAGATTAATTTTCATCGGTAGAAATGGACATAAAAATCGCGTCAAGTCGTGCGACAATCTTAGAGTACTTATACCTCGAATATACTATTGTTACAATAATATTGTACGCGAGAGTGCTTTTACAAACATGATAAAAAGAGAGCTCGTATCCTAAAAATAAATTGTTACTTCCATCCCTGACATTTAAAATGTTTTAGTTCCGTAATAATGTATTCTGTCGCATCGAACATCGAAAGTGTTTATCGTCTATAATTTATAATGAACACATTTGAAATATGCCGATACCTCCTGGCGAAAATCTGCAAATCCATCTCGCGTTAACTAATGTCACTGAATTTCTGTCGCGAACGTTTAACGATGCGCGAATATTGTACGTCACTATCGCCGGCACCTTGTTAAATTTAATGAAGACGAGCAGAGATGTCAAATAAATACACACGACTCGCAAAATTCAAGAATAAACACTCTGTAAAAAAATATATGTATATATGTGTGCCTATGCATGTACATCTACATCATCTTGTATAATCCTGTCGGTGCATACACAGATGCTTTGCGAACTCATTAAAGAAAATGCACTAAGGTATAAAAGCGATCGTGTAACTTGAAATCGTTACGCGGGGCGAAGCAACGTTACTTTTAAGACGATTTTTAAAGCGAGTATCGATAACTTGTTCAAGGCGCGTGGAGTTTTAAGAAGGCATCGCAATACAAACGTCTTTTTATTCATGTAAGTTCCTATCCAAGCAAAGTATTCACCTTTCCATCTTGCCTGTGATAATCTTGTACAAAGACGCAACATGTATCAGTACAAAATAATTCGTTTAGTATCTTGCTACATACATATGCAATGCACTCGATTTCTTAATTTATTATAAAATACATTGCCAGTACAGTGTGTACTAAGCGAAATAATTTATACTAATACATATATCATTTCTTTGTGCAAAGTTACTACAAAAAAGTAGGCATGAAAGCAGCAACCATTTTGCTCTCTTATTTCATACGTCATCCGTGTGTATTTTACTATATGCAGGCATCGGTATGAAAAAACTGATGCACCAAAGTTAAAGACTCTGATCGTTAGACGTTACAGGTTTCAAGTAATTGCTTGCCACACGTATAAGCAACTTATAAATTGCGCAATACTAATAACAATGAGATAAATATAAATCGTAATACTTATCACAATTTATGTTAGTACAGATTAAATCGTAAATAAAACTTCTAATCATTAACGTTACTTAGGGCGTTTTTCCAACCTCTTGATAAGCTGACTAATAGTTAAATTATGTGTCTATCCTTCTTTAACTTAAAGGAAAAACAAAGATATACATATGATTTAACTATTAATTAATTTACCAAGAAGTTGAAACAACCTGCCATTAATGTTAATAATTAACGTTACTGGAACCTAAAATAAATCTCTATTTTCGGACATTAGAAGCTCGTAAACAACCTAATGTCGGGGTTAACTTTAATGTACACGCATAAGTTATTAAGTAGAAAACACCTTTTCTCGAGACTTTCTCTGTTTCTTCAAAGTTGTTAGTATTCCCGAATGTTATCAAACAATTCTAGGTCTTAAGTAGAAGCGATCCATGTTCACAAACAATTTTCTCTTAGGGGACTAAGTATAGCTCTTTCAGTATTTTATGCTTTTACGTGTATCTCATAGTTTGTATCATAGGAAACAGGTACAACATGTATGTATTAGGTAACTCAATTTCCTGTGCGATACAACAATCGATAATATCCCTTACGCTATTTTACTTAATACTCCATAACGATCGAAATACACTTTACCACGTACCTGTTACATATAAAATGTTTCACTGGCATATACCCTTTTTTCGTTTTATAAACAAGTAAAATATGTAAAAAAAAACTAAATCAATGTTCTACAGCCTCTCTCTGTGATGTATAAACTAGATGGCAAATTGCCAACTGAATTGCTACGCGTAACATTACACGTTAGTAAATTAGCGTAAGAAATTATAGCGTAAGAAATATGGTTGTTACAAATATATTCCTGTAATAACAATAATTAAAGAGATGGTTCTGTATCAGATACCACTTGTACTCTTGTTCTTGCACGTTCTTACGAGAAAGCAAACGTTTCAATTGATACCTGATTTATATATTCATTTCTATTACTTAAAAAAAAAGCATGTGACAATTGTAACTTTAAGTATGGGGATAGTTTCCAGTTAATATTTTGGGAGTCAATTAAACTACTATTGCAATTTGTCGCATGCGAGGAAAATACTATAGTTATATCAAACTAAAGAACTATATTACAATTGGCATTAGAAAATATGCAGCAGAGAACTGTGCCATACTAATTGCGTACTCTAAAAAATGTAAAAATATGTAACGCATGAGAAATTCTCTGCATTCTCGATAATGGACGGTGAAGTATTTACTTGCTACTCACTAAAAAACATCTATTACCTTAAAATTAAATCATCGTTAAATTTGTTGAATCTATTACTAATCATAAATTAATTCGCCATCTTATTGAAACAATGAGAAGAAAATTATAAATTGATACAGGTTTTCCAGATCGTTGTCAACTGAATTACTACAAGGTCATCACATAAAGCACTAGTAATCTATCGTTACAATATAAATATCGTCTTATTGAAATATCAAGATATCAAAAGTCATTATATATATATATATATATTTACCTAAAATTAAACACGATGTAGTAATAAATATAAGTATCTCTTAGAAAATGACGTTGATTTTTACAACTAATTCGCTCTTGTAAGGTGTGTATCACCTAGATGGAAAATTTCTTATATTTACATAGTAATGTACAACTATATGATTTTATACACAAGTGAAGAATGACATGTTTTCTTCTTCTTTCGTCCTATTAGTTAATTTTAGTGCATCATTTTGTGAAGTTTCAGAATCTTCCCCAAACGCTGCTTCGCCGTTTTCATTCCCTTCTTCGGTTTTCGTTCTAAAAATTTTTTAATCATTCATCGATTATATGTCGCAACGTGTAACGCAAATCTTTAAGTAAAAAAAATTAATAATAAATGCATTAATAATGAAATTCGATTCTTTACCAACTGGGACGGGCGCAGCAAGTTTGGCTTTAACATCCTTAAGCCTGTTAGGACTTGTCAGTATTGACCCGAATCCAGTAGGTGATTTTATAACATTTTCAGAAACTGTGGTAGACGATGTGGTTTCTACTGGAGGAACCACAGGATCCTTTTGCTTCTTTTTGTTATATGTCCGTTTGTTAGAACCCTATTACGCGCACAAAATATAATTTACACCATTAGCTGTTTTCATAACAATAGCACAACAAAAATGGAAAAAATTAATGAAGACAAGGAAAGAAGATGTACAGAGTGCATCACCAGAACAAAGATATTTAAATATTATATCCCTGGCGATCCAATCTATGGATTAATGGTGACAAATTATAGCTAGCGGTCACTACAAATGTGCACTAAAAAGAAAGTGGAGGCTAATATTTAAAAAAAAAACGAGATAAACTGAAATTAAAAAATACAAATTACAAAATCAAAGACTGTAATTACAAGCAGGACTGTAATTATAATATATGTACAATATGGAAAGCCATAGAAAAGTACAGCACTACAGAATTTTATACGAAATTGCAGAGATCGAAATATGCCTACCAATTTCTTCTTGGTAACCTTGTCCATGTCGTTATCCAGGTATTCATCCTATGTGAAATGTATATGCAAGAAACACGGAATTATGGTATTTAAGAAAAGTCGTGAGCGATAAAATATTTATTAAATGACAAGTAACGATAAAAATATATTACACATATCAAATACATTATTTCGTATAAGTACTGGATACATATAACTACATACTGGATTAGTATCTGGATAATTAATGTTTGGGAAGCTTAACATATTATTTATTTAAATCTTGTGAAATGTATGATTTGCAAAATAAAGTAAAATAATATTGAACAATTTTCTTACCGATTGTTTCGCTCTCTTCGCCGCGGCCGCTTCAAGACCCTTTTCGACAGACGTTTTCTTCGCACCTTCCCGTGCAGGTCGATTTGTCTTTGGTAAAAGAGGGCCCACTCTGGCTTTTGGATTCCACGCTTCATCGATTTGGCTCTTCGCCTTAGGCTTAAAGATATAATCTTCGTCGTCAGAAGCGTCTAAAGCTGGATAAACTGTGAATAAAATAAACTTAGTAACGGCATTATAACAAATATCGATGTAAGATATTCTTCTGTTATATACGTACTAAAATCATCGTCTTGATGGACCTTGTCGATATTTTCTATCAACTGATCGTCGTCATCGTCGTCATTTTGTTGACTCTTAGTAGCTCTCTTAGACGACTTCGTAGAACTACTCGTTGTCGAGTAGCTCTGCTGGCTAAACGACAACATCCCGGCGATCGCCTCCCGCGTGGACGGTGACGCCCTGTCGGAACTGACCGTTTTCAATTTATAAATACTAAGACACCAAGAAATCAAATGCATTCCTCCGTACGGCTTAAAGAATCTTTTAACAAGCATGTAAAAAAATAACGACCTTCCATGCATGCTCGAGGAAGAACCATATATCTGCATTCACTCTATACTAACTCTGTCCCATCCAAAGATGCGATTACTTCAAGTGAAAATAAAGTTAAAAAAGTTTGCAAGAAAGAGATAAGTTACAGTAATTACAGCCATTTTTAAAAGTTTATCGAAACTTTTCATTAACCACTATGCCTCAGAGCGAGATTAATTGGAAAAGTTTCGAAATGACATTTGCGAGACTTAAAACGCAAAGATCAGAGAGTCCTGTGGCAAATTAACTTACCCAGTAGGCGGCGGCATGGGCTGACTGTACTGTAGGATATTAGTCGATGTCCTGAAAGTATTTCTCGTTACAACCATAAATCGTAACTCAAAATCGACAGGTATTTGAATTTATACGTACGTGACATCGACTCTTGGTGTGCTATTTCCGAGAGTGTATACCGACGCCTTCAACAATTCCTCTATACCGTTCTTCGGAGCGTTGCTCAGCACGTCGACATCGCCGTCGTAATCGCGCTTGACACGTTTCGCCCTCGGTGTCCGTTTCCGCTTCTGCGACTCGTCTATCACGAGACCGTAGTCGCTCTCGTTGCTGCCGTCGTGAAAATCGTACACGGACGACGTCTGGTTCCACGACAGCGGCTCCTTCGTTGTCTCGAAGGAGTGGCCGGTCACAATATTGCTACCGTAAATAACGTTTATATTGTCGTTTGTACTTCTGACAACCTCGTTGTTGCCGAGCTTAAATCTAATTACGGTAGGGCTCTGTTTTCCCGGCTTGGACAATTGCCGTTTATTACTGTTGGCGGGCTTCTCCGTCGCGGGCGTTTTGACTGCGGGACACATGATCGGTTTCGGCAACGTGAGCTTTAAGGGCGGTCTTGCTAACGACTGTTCTATCGAAGCGGATTCCATTTTATTCGTTTCCTTCAGCGTCGCTTTATTCGTCTCCTTTAACGTCGACTTGTTCGTTTCCTTCAACGTCGCTTTATTCGTTTCCTTTAACGTCGCTTTGTTCGTTTTAAACGCGTTATCGGCCATCCTGTCGGCGTAATCGAAGTCTACGAAGTCCTTGTTCAACGGCTTCCGTTTCTTTCGCTTGCTCTCGCGTTCCGGTTTCGGCGGATTCAGAGATATTAAGTACCGTTCCGCATGCCGTATCTCTTTACTAAGGTCCTTCAATAATTTCTGGCTGTTTATCGTGTCCGGTATCTGACCGCGGCTGACCATGCTGTACTGAAATTACACACGCATTGGCTCTTATTCCACGAGTTTCCATATTGCTAAATATTAAAATTGCATGTTTATATCAACACTTTTAACTCACATCCTTATCTGTATTCCATTGCTTGAGAATCCCAAGCAACGCCTTCACGCCTTGTAAAAAGTATGACGGACATTTCTTTCCCTCGTTATTCAATTCTTTCAATTCCTTTAACAATTTCTTAGCAGCGAACCAATTAATTGTCTCGAATCCAGGATATTGAAACTTGGCCGGTGTCTTCATCTTTCTTTCCAACTCGTATATTCTACGAAACGAAATAATATTGCATACAAAACAAATAACGACTTAACAATGTATTGATGCACGATTACGTTTCTCCACTCACTGTATCTGCATTTGGATGTTGAGACTGTGCACAAAATTTCCGCCGAAAACCAAGGAATCCACCGGCGTGAGGACCGCGTGTATCCAACCCGTGGGTATCATCATCGTCTGGCCCTGCTTAAGCACGCACTTGTAACACGCGTCGGCCTGATCCCCAAAGAAGGTCTCGCTCTGCGTCGAGCTGCACATCCAGTGCTGGTACAGCTGCAAGTTCGCCGGCGTCGGCTTGATGAGATAGAACACCTTCTCGCCGCGCAGCACGTGGTACCACACAGACGTGCCGCCAAAGTCTATGTGAAAATCTGTGAAACTGTCTTTGACCCCCATTAGGCAATACTTTTGTACTTCCGGCTGCTTTATATCACTGTCCTCGGGCCAGTCGCGCGGCCACACCGAATTAACCCAGTCGAGTTTGCGCGCGATGTAAGGCGCTTCAACCAACGGCGAGAGACTGCAATTGTTTTATTCGTCAAATTATACATCCTATGCGAGAAATAACTAAACAAAGCCGTGTGTAAGGCAATGAATATCGATATACCCTGTTTTTGTAAATTCGAGACTTATGACATTAAATACTCTCGTGCGGGAAGGAGAGTTGTAATATTCTACAAAGTCTCTTAATTTCATGCGTATGTTACTTTGTCTAGTAACATCGATTACATCCATGTCTCGATCACCACCTAGAAATAACGTAAGAGAATCGTGTAAGCTTACGTGCAGTGATGTAAACTTTGGGCCGCCAGCACCATTGAGTGCTACACCAGCTGCTATACCACAACGCTCGCGCATACGAACGCAAGCCGTGTTGTGCGTGTAAACATTGCGGTGTAGCACCCAATGATGCTGGTGGCCCAAAGCTTGCGTCACTGCTTATATGATAAAAATATTGCAAGAAATAAAGAAACGATTATTGCAAGTTATTTGTTTGTTATCGTTTTATGCCAACCGTCCTACCTATGTAAGTCTCGACGTCGCAAACAGTGAAGCTCAAAGGTGGTACAGTCATATCGAGCCCATCCTTTCCATCGATTATGATAGGAGTCTCAAAGCCATTAATTTGCAAATACTGAAAAGTCAACTGGGGCCCCTTCACGTGCTTCACGACCTCGTCGGCCTTGGGAAAGTGTCTGGACTTCAGCTCTCGTATGAACACCGACGTTCCAGTCTGAACCGGCTTCGTCTCTGCATCCTGCTCGGTGTAATCATGTCTGTGCAAGTTTGTCCTGACTTTCACTGTGAAATAGAGTGAATATTATTGACAAAGAACTTAGTAAACACGCAAATATATACAAGACATTTAGCGAATTGGCTGTCTTACTGAGCGAAGGGCCGCACGTGGTTTCGCACCGTGGACAGTGGTACTTGTCGAGATCTACAGTCACGTACTCCTTCAAATCCACGCACCTGAAAGAACAAAACGACGTGACACGTTGCTCGCGGTCGAGGCTAGGAATGTCGGTTTCCACGCGCCACGTGGAGGCGCGAACAATCGCGCGCGCACGCAAGCGGGCGCTTCGACCGAGCGCGTCGAAGCGTCCGTCGGTGCTCCGCGCTGCGTCCCCGCGCGACGCCGAGCCCGGGACAAACGGGGCGACGCGCGCGGCACAGGTTATGTCACCGTCAACAAAACAATCGTTCGCGGCGCGACGCCGCTTCGCCGGCGTCGCGTCCGCGGCCGCCGGGCCGGACGCCCGCGGTCGCGCGATCGACTCCCGGTGGAGCCGCGACGAGCCCCGGGAGGCCGCGGGAAAACCGACGGAGCATCGCGGGCGGGCGCGCGCGCGCCTCGACGCGTATCCCTTCGTGCCGCGCTTACCCGCCGTGGTACCACTCCTTGCACACGTCGCACTGTATCATGAACTGCTGCGGGTCGTACGAACGGCCGCAGAAGCAGTACGTGGCTGACGGCTCCATTTCCTCGGCGGTCACTTGTGTCGGACGCAGCTCCCGTGGCACCGTGATTCCGTCGACAACGCAGGCGGAGGCCGCGGAGGTGGTGGCATGGTGCGGCCGCGAAGCGTCGGGGCGTCGCGTCGCGCAAAAAGAAATGGCGCCCGCTGGGCGGCCTCGGGCCAATCGGCGCGCGTCCCGCCGTGCGCGCCCGCCAAGTTCGAAACGCGAAACTCGCCCGTTCCGGGGCCGATCGCGTGTGCCTCTTCCTCCGCCACGCGGCTCAATTTCTCGCGGCAGTTCGTCTCTCCTTCCTCTTTCTCGCCGTTCGGTGTTTGGATTTTGCCCCGAGTGCAGAAGGTGTAAGGGAGTGCAGCGACGTTGTTGCCTAGGAAATTATCCGGGGGCCTGCTGCGCGCGCGTTGCTGGTAACACCAGGCCTTAAGCCCCGTTTGCAATCGATTCGTCTACGAGGACGAGAATGGATACGCCGGAACACGTGTGCGGGATGGCACGAGATTTCCGTATCGTTAGATAGATTTTACATCTCTTTTGATATATTGTTTTCCTCAATGAAGATAAACACCCGCGCGGTGGGAGAGATGGTCGAGCCAGAACCGCAAGGGGTTAAAAAGTGAGTAAAATTACTTTGATACTCCGTCGATCGTTCGTGTGGCTCTTGGAGCAACTTGAACGAAGCTGCGATCGACTTAGTTCGCACTTTAATCTACTTCTCGGCAGAATTCCTACTTTCTAAACGTCTCGATTGTACAATTCGTCTAGCTAAGCCTTTCCCTCCCGTATGTTAAACGAGAATAAATATTTCGACTCGTAAATAAGACAGATGTTGCTCGGTAAGCTCGGCCGAATAATAATAATAATTTATGTCGCGCGAAATATCGTGCACGTTGCAGTTAAGTATAACAGTTGCACGTTGCTCCGTAAATTTTTCGTTACGTTTCAGCCCCAACAAGCAGATAGGGCGAAAGGCTCGCTCGAAGAAAATGCGTGTTTACAATTTGGTGGATTATGCCAATGGTCCGCCGAGTATTTCCTCAATAGACCAGCCAGCTGGTCCTTCCGGAGACAGAACAGCCGGACGTAAGAGGAAACGCTCCAGAAATAAGAAAACCGTTGATAAAATATCCTCCGACAATCGAGCATTGTTCAGCAAGATTGACCAGGGTACATACATGCGCGACGGAGCTGTCAAGTTTGTAAATTCCAAATACAATACCCATGCACAGACGTCCAAGTACCCACTGATTTCATTTGTGTCACCGTGTGCAGCTAAAAATGGTGAAAGCGACGATGCCGGTGAAAACAGATTGGGAGACACAAGTGTCGGCGATATGAGCAATCCCGTTACGAATCCTGCGTGCGAACAACTCGAGCACACAGGGGACAAGTTTGAACGCAAACGTAGGACGAGATTAAAGGAAGCGACTTCCAACGAGACCTTCGAGTTAAATGAATTGTTCAGCAAGGCTGACCTGAATGCGCGCAAGCCTGATACAGTTGTCAAAGTTGTCAATTCTGAATACAACGCCCACGCACAGAAATCTAAGTATCCAATCGTCTCACTTGTGCCAGTGGATGCAGCCACAAGCGTCAGTATACGCAGTCCTAGTACAAGTCCTATCTGCAAAAAACTGCAAGGTTCAAGTCCTCAATCAGCAGTTCATAGCGACACAGAAGTAAGCGGCAGTCTTAGGCGCAAAAATGTTAGCTCGTGTCGACGTACGTGCGACCGGAAGCCGCCTCAGGTTTACTGCATAAGAAATCTAGTCGTCGTCATAATGGAAAACGACTCTAGACTCTGCTTCTACGGCAAGCTGTTGGTAAAGGTTTTGTACGGCGCAGTGAAGATTCACGGCTCCACACTGGACCGGTCGATCGGCACCGCAGAGGTGTACTCTCCGCGCGGATACAGTAACATCGTCATAGAGACCAGCGAGGAATTCCCGGAGGGTAGCGTCGAGGACGTGTGGATGGCGCTCGCCGCGGAGAACATCACTCGGGACTCGGAGAGCAAGCTGCAGATCGACGTCGACAACGTCCAGCCGGGAATGGCCGTCCTCGAGCTGCGCAACTTGGAGAACAATCTAACGCTCTTCTTGAAAACCTACTTCCCGCACTTGAAACTGTTTCCGAGCGTGAAGAATCCTCACTATTTCCCGTGGACGGATCCCAAGCGGGCCGAGATAATACTGCAGGCGACTCTGTGTGTCAGACCGGGCGACAAGACACCCAACTTCCGACAATTGGCCACCGAACCCTGCGTCACTGTAGACATCGCGGAGAGGATGCTGAGTCTCTGGTACGCGAACACGTGGTCCTGCACGCTGATCGCCGGCGGTAAAGACGTCGGCAAGTCCACCAACGTGCGGTATCTGATCAACAGCCTGTTGCGCACGTCGAAGAAGGTGGTCCTGGTGGACGTGGATCCTGGACAGGCGGAGTGCACGCCGCCCGGCTGCATCTCGTACAGCTTGATCGAGGAGCCGTTGTTGGGGCCGAACTTCACGCATCTTAAGACGCCGGTGTATCAGCTGTTCCTCGACGACGTGGACGTCAGCCGGTGCCTCACGCGCTACTTGGAGGGCATCAAGATGCTGATCGACAGACTGAGGGAGTGCCCCGTCCTGTCCCGCTTGCCCATCGTGGTGAACACGATGGGATTCGCACAGAAACTCGGTTGGAACATCATGATGTTCACGATAAAGCTAATCAGGCCGTCCATCATCCTGCAGATCTTGTCGAGGTACAAGAAGAACAATTACATCAACTATCTAAGTGCGGAAGTTGTAAACCAACAGGTAAACACCCTACGTCTTCGATAATTAACACATTCGTTGTTTGAACGATCGATTCCTAGAAAGGGGACGTTTCACAGGAGTACACGTGGACCTTCTGCGACGAGAAATTCATCGATTGGAACAGGCCGTGCGAGCACGACTTGTGCGTGATCAATTCCCGGGCGGAGGTCGCGTTCGGCCAGGCGCAGATCGACAGGATGAAACTAGAACCGTATCAGCAGCGCGAGCTCATGATGATGTCTTACCTCAGCGGTATCGTGCGTGAAAGAAATTATTCCCTGTAAGCTTCGCACTGTGGTGTCTTGCGTCGATTCACGAGCTTCACATGGTCCTCGTAATTTTAACTTCGACGTTTGTTATTTCAGCCAGTGCAACACGGGACTTTCAGTCAGTATCAACGAGGTGGTGCCGTACACGTCAGTATCTTGTATCTTATTGGCATGCGAATGTACGTAACGACAGGCGATATGAATGTCTCGTGCGTTTACAGGGCGCCCTTTTCTTCCTTATGTATTATACCCCAACGATTATTCGGGGTACCTGCGTCACGTGCTTTAAGCGTGATAAATGGTAATATCGTGGCGCTATGCGGTATAGACCTAACAGAGGAATCCTCGCAAGAATCCAGTCCGAGTACTCTCCGAGTACTGACGCAAAGGTCTCCTTTATGCACGTGCTACGGCTTCGGTAAGTTGTAATTCTTTTGCGTCAACTACCTTTCTAACAGATACTTTTGACAATTTCTTAAATAAATACATAGAGGGAATGTGCGTTTGTTTTTAAAATATTCTGAATGCGTGTACCATTGCACAGGAATAGTCCGAGGTGTCGACATGGAGCGACAGGAAGTGTTCATAAACACTCCGTTACCGATATCGATGATGCCTTACGTTAACTGCCTGGCGGGTTCTATTCCGGTCCCTCCGACATTGTTGCAGTTGCAGCAAGGCGCTCCTTACGTCGGTGAAAACGCGGACGACTCGTTGCCAACGAGTCGCGAACCCCGCAAAGGACACTCCCGGATGAGGGATAAAAATAAGCCGAGTAAATCAGTATAAATGATATGAATGTATACAATTGTAAAACTTGACACAATACCTCATAAGCGTCTATTTCCTGATAAATGGAACGAAAGCATTTCACAAATGTACTGTACCTGCAGATGTAATATTTTATGTTACGTGCATTAATTACGGTTCAACAACTTGTAACACGAATCGATGAGGTGTCCTATGTATAAAGAGCATTACATACATAAAGAATATATTTATTTTATTGACAAGGAACATCTCTTACAATATGTATGCAAGAAATACAAAATTTAGATAATTGCAGTTGTACAATTGTATCCATTGATCAATGGATGCGATTTAGAATATCTAAAAATCATATTTATTTTATTGACAAGAAAATATTTCTTACAATATTATGTAAGAAATAAAAAATTTAGATGTTTATAATTACAGTTGTGCAATTGGATAAAAAAAATAGCGTAAAGTATAAAATTATCTTTTACTGTTGTACTTAGAATTATGCTACTCGATCGTGATATAAAATGAAACTTTGGTCCATCCAAATTTCATAAAATATTTATCGCGAATACAGAGGTAAAAAAATATCTTCTTAAGAAACAGACTTCTTGCTCGTGTCGTCTTCATTGCACTTAAAATAAAAACATAAAGGTTGCAATATGGCAGTAAGTGTTTGTACACTCCAAGACCTGCCGAGCAATTTTTGTCTATTTGTGGCCGATAAATTCTTCACGTCCGTATAATGTCGTGGAAAGCCAAAGATTTCCTCGAGTTCGGTGATCCATATTGTATCAGTTTTACCTTTCATCATTATTGGTTTCAATTCTGCTTTTCCTAGAATAGAAACACGAATTGAGTACAAGTTGCTTTCAAAAAAATATCGGTGAGACATAAAGATCCTTAATGAGACCTTGCAATAAGGAACCCGTTCTGCCTGTAACTGTATGAAGTTTCTTGCAAAGGGCTTTCCGGTTCAAGTTTGGTGTAAGGGCGTCCTGAACATCTTGTCGGGTCTCGAACCGTGGCATATGTGGATTGAAAGGAAGATTATGCCAATAAAGTCTCAGTCTGTGTTGAGGCGAATAGTCTGCCGAATCTATAACATCAGGTTCGCGTCCCAGATGTCTGTAATTAACATAAGTTAATTTTGTGATCGTAATATTATCTTTTGCCATTGGATTAAGTTAACAAATATATTTACTTGTTTATTTCTAATCTATATTCGGTTGGCATGGAAGCGACATTCTCGAATAACCAAAACATGTGGCGACCCTTGTTGGCTTTTTCGATCAGTTTTTTTATTCGGCAGTATTCGAAAAAAAGAACGCCAGTCCCCTTCGGATCTACGATCATAAGAGTGGATAAAAGTCTTTGCTTACAAAACTTTTTGAGAAATACATATTGATTGTCGACAAGTACCGTGGAGGCCTAATCGTGCTGGATTCACCAAACTTAAGTCGTTGCATGGCGAGCCACCGATCAGCAAATCAATCGGTGCGATTTCTTGAATTTTTTCCTTCGTTATACCTCTTACATCTCCTAGATAATTAATACGGTCGCCAAAGTGGGCGGAGCTAATCGTCAATGCGTTTACATCAATTTCACTAGCGTAATAAACTTCCACAACGAGCCGCAAGTTTTGGAGCACCAGAAAACCTGTGTGTTTAATATGAATAATAATATTAACAAATATTATGAAACTGTAAAAAAGAAGTGATTATAAATCGTACGCAAATTTGTCTTACCAGTACTTAAACCGTCGAAAAGTGACAGAACGCGAACAGCTCTAGTTTTCTCTTTATAACTTGCAAAATCTACATTAGATATCAGATTAGTGGATGTGCGGAACATTGATGTAAATTTGTCTTTCCAATCTATTCGCGGACGCAATATCATATTGGCGGGATGTTTAGTTTCGTCTCTGCAGAGAAAGCATACCCATGGATCTTCCAACAGCATGTCGTCGTACGATTGTGGACAAAGTAAAAATTTCAGACATGCTGTACAGTAGACACTGAAATAAATAACGCGTTAAAATACATATATCCCAACGCGACAGTTGATCTATTTCAAGCGCGAGTGTACCAACCGTGGACATTCTTCTGAATCACAAATAAGAACAGTTCCGGTGCTGGCGCAAACTGTGCAATAAAACTGAAATCAAACGTGAAACAAAGAGACAATTGTAATATTTCAATCGTTACATATCGCCGGAACTGCCGAATACTTACGCACTTGCCATCGTTCCCATGCACGAACATACATGGTTTAAATTCATCCTGGAAAAAGAAAAACAGCCAATATAATGCTCGTCGTTGTGTTAGAAAATACGTTTGACCGAGGTGATTATTATCTTTCTACGATTGCTTTGTTAAAAATTTATGAAAGAGCGTGTCTCATACCGAACATTCTTTACATAAGGCACCTTCAAAGAACGGATGTTCCTCTTTTCTACCTTTAGAAATCTTCAGACATTTTAAACATAATTTTTCTATGTTGCTTTCGCCCGACGTTACTCGGCGAAGATCATCTGCGAATGACAAAGAAATCCACAAATAACAAATTGACGTTAAACAGCACCAATTTGTGATGTATACGCATTGTGCAACCCAACTCACTGCTCGCTTTTATATCACGCTTCCGTTCAGCGTCTACATCTGACTTGAACTTGAATTCGTTGATTTTTTTTATTATCTCGTCGGAATACTTATCATATATCCTGTTAGAGTCTGAAACTTGCAATTGGTTAGACGGTAATTGAATATTATTCGAAAAATATTCAAAAACATTATCTAAAGTCCAGTTATCCGTGTTGCAGCCTAATCGTGAGCAATAATCCTAAAAAGTCAGATTCAAATGTCGTGATAGTTTTTGGAAATTCTCGCAGGAAAATATTCATCATACATGTAACACAAATCGTACATTCAAATAAATTAATTGTAATATTATTGATTGGATAAAATAAGTCCTTAAATATTCTACCTTAGAAGCTTGAAGTATGCCATCCAGATATTGCTGTCTATTCGTATTTTGAATGTACTCGCGCATTTTTTCCAGTCCCTTGTGAAATTTCAAAAATTCAAGATGACGCACCTATTAAATATAAAAATGTTAAGTAATAATTTACTATGTAAAAAACAGAATCAGAGAAGCGCATGCTTTTTAATTCGAGTGTTGATATTAAATTAATTAAATTTAGTCACCTCTGAAACTTGATAATCGCCATACCACATAATCCATTGACAACCGAAACTCGGTTCTTTCAAGCAGCAGTCGCGATAATCAATAATCATTGCTGAAAAAAATGTAAAAAGTTCTTCATACTTATGAGGAAGGATTAAGCGAATGTTAGTAAAAAAAAAAGACCAAATGCGCTTATACCGGGCCACCAACAGTGTCCAGGGATTTTCGCCCAGGCTATTACGCCAGGCTGTTGGTGTTGCAAACATAAACGCTCATCATCGATCTGTTCCCAGGTTGTATTTGTGTCTTTAATTTTTTCCATATTCTGCTTTTTCGGTGGTGGTTCCGGTGAATCTGTAGAGGATATTAAGTCAGCGTTTCAAGCTAACTCAATGTCAAATATTATTATGCAAACATAACAAAGACGTACTTCTCTGATTTTGTATAAATTTTTTAGTAGCTTTGGCGTTCTTTTCCTTCAAGACATTCAGTCTTTCTTGTATGTTTTCCGGATATGGATAAAATGTTAGATCGTCCACTGCCATATCAAACAATTTTTGCATTTATTCGCAACGACTACGTAAGATAATTCACAGGATTGTTTGACTTACATGTCTCCAAGTCAGGTATGTTCCGTTGTATCCAATAATAATAAGGCTTTGTCAGAGTACAGTTGAAACGTTGGCGAAGTATCTAAAATAATCGTAACGGCACATCGCATTTTTGGAAGCAATTCCTTATGTAATTCTTATTGTCTGTAATTTTATTCTCGAAGAGAGTCAAAGAACCTGTATAGTCTCGTCAACGGCGCGCAAACGAATGCTTTTAGAGGAAATGCTTTTACGAGACGGTTGCGACAATCGCTCCTCCAAGTTCCTCGAGAACGGTTGTATCTGTGTTTCTTCTTTGAGCTAAAAATCACGTCAATTACGTTTTATTTTTCTCTCCGTCAATGAGAAGATTCCTATGTTCGGAACACTCCGTTAATTTACCAACGATATTTGCGATTCCCCGATCCAGTAGACCCACATCTTGCCAGGCTCAGCTGCCATTCCTACATGCTCGGCGTCGACGATCAGTGCTGTAAAACCACATTTTTTATTGAAAAGTGTTTAAAAGAAAATTAAATGCTTAAAATCGGACAAGTGTTGTTTAATGTCTAAGAGATAATTTTGCACGCGCGACGAAAACGATATAATTATCCAGACGCATCAATGACATCGTTAATTTCTAGCAGTGAAATCTATACTCGCGAGCTATATTTTGCACGCGGCACATTGTATGCGACACTCCGTAATCATTATCTCTAACATATTTACCTGGCCACCATCCTGCAAAGAATCCCCATATAAGCTTGCCGGCGTGATTTTCTTTATGGTTCTTTTTAGTCTTTACCAGAGCCCTGGTCACTCTGCGCGGACCATCTTCCTTTTTATCACTATTATTCTCCAAATTGTTACCCTTGTCACGCGCACATTGTCGCATTACATTTACTTTGTTACTGGCTTTCATGTTTTTGGTAACTTTACTTCGAACCTATTACCATTGAATTCATATATATGTATACATATATCGCATATTATTTGCATATTATTACATTTGCATATATTATGAGTTGTAACACGACACTTTCATATGATTTTTCAACACGCACCGATTGCATCTACTTTTTCTAAATTCGACCATGTGATTCACGGAATTGATTGTGTTACTTGAAAATGTCCAAAGATTACTTCAAGAATTAAATATTTATCAAACGTATATCATTTTTCTTATGCGCCAAAACCACAAATGTGCAAATTTTTGTAAAATAGTAAAATGGTTAAGATCGGATTTTACGTCACTTATTAAATTTAACTATTTAATCATTTTGTGAAAATTTGCACGTTCTTGGTTATGAGACAAGAGGAACGATGTGTAATAATACTATTACGCGTAAAAATTTCTTTTTCTCACTTTCTGCTCATTCTCTCTTTCTTATATTCACAAAGGGCAGAGCATTTTTAAGACAAATTTAACGTGTCAATCTGACAAGCAACTCGATTGATAAATATATAAGTAACAGTTTGTTCACCTTGACATCATCGTCTTCATCCTTAAAACTGCAGGTCGATACCGATCTCCTAATTGTTCTATTTTTATTTTTATACGTGGCCCTCGCTTCGTCACGTTGATTTGCGAGTTTCTCATTTTCCATATCTTCATCCGAATCGTAGAAAGAATTTTTTCTCGCCACTGTGAACGACGTATCTGACATTTCGTGATACTTATAGCATACGTTATTCAAATTCTCGTACTCGTCATCACATTTTTCGTCTTTTGTCAAATCCTCGCTAACGATCTTCCGAGCCAATAGCAGCGCGCCATCAACTTCGTTACCGCATTCTTCAGTTGAGAATCCTAAGGTCGATCGGCGCCAGGATGAGTGGATTCCGTCGTCGTTGTCGCTGCTGTCCTCCGCCGATCTCCAGCTCTCCTCCATATTTATTTTCAAGGACGGCGTCGATCGCGGAGTATCGAAATCGATGCAATCGTGGAAAAGGCTTCGGTAAGATGTCTCCATGCTCTCGTCAAATTTACAATCGATCGAACGTCTGTTTTTCCTCTTACGACGTGTGCCGAACTTGCCAATGCTCATCGATAAGTCCTCGGTATTCGTCGGATCCAATGATTGGTTTATGATCTGGAACGATGAGTCCCAATCGTTCAGCTCGTCAGTGTCCATCCAATCGTATTCCATAGAGATGTCCCTGAGATTTTTGCGACCCGGATCCTCGGGCATGTTCGCCCCAATTGCGCCAATCACCCTCTCAGCGTCCATCGCAATTTTTGTGTTTATGTATTTTTGAATATCCCGCATAATTGCGGCAGCCGCGTTCTTCGAGTTGTTCCTCTTGCACGGGCAGGCGGCATTTGTAAAATTGTGAGAACGCCGCCGGGCGACTTTACAGTCGCAGCGTTTCTGTACCGCAATTTCCTCCGCGGCATCACGCGTGCCGGCTGCGACGTCGTCTCTCGAATCCGATTTGCTTTTTGAAGAATTGTCCTCCAATTCGTGAGAAATTCGCCGAAGGTTGTGATGATTATACGCCGCGGCGTTGCGAGTCCTTTTCTTCCGGCCAACCGACCTGTGTTTCCTTTTCTTCGGCTCGACGTGATCCTCGTTCTTCCCTAATTCGGATTTCTTCTTCTTCCTCGATGATGCTTTTCTGACACTATGCGGAGCGTTTCCATTTTCGAGGATCTTGCGCGACGTCCGTCGTTCCGCAAATTTCGCCGGCTTGGCAGTTTGCGCGTTATCCCTGGAAGTATCATCCTCCGAGATGTCGAGATCATTGTTCTCGGTGCTGTTATCGATCCGCAGGACGTTCATGAAGTAATCAGGATATTCCGGCAACTCCATCCGATTTTGCGGCTCTTCCTTCGTGTGACTCGTCGAGTAGAATCTGGAGTACCCGGTGCCGGAATAATCAACCGGCGCGATCTCCTCCGAGCTCGTTTCCGATGTCGTTTGACTAATTACTTCTTCTTCCTCGTCGTCCTCGTCCTCGCCGGTCGATCTGTAACTTTGGGACAAACGCTCGTCGTCCTCGTCGCCGACGAAAACGCGAGATCGCGTCGACGAAGGGTTCTTCCTCACTGATAATCTCGCCGACCGATCGCGCGATACGCCGACATTTTCTCGCAGCGACGACGAGGTGCCTACCTCGGCTGAGAGATCCGCCGTTCCACCGTCGACCCTCGGACGCGCGTCCCTCGGTTTCCTTTGCCGTTTCACCGACCACCTCGCTTTCCTCCTTCGCCTGCGGACGGGCTTCGTACAAGTGATCCGCTTAATTTGCGCCGGGTCGATGAACGGCCACGAGCTACCGAAGATACTCGCGGACTTGGACGCGTCGTCCTCGCGATCGTTCGCTTCGAGATCAGGAGATTTCGCCGCATCCTCGCCGGTAGATAGCGAATTCAACTCCGAATAACTCGCGATGACGACTTCCTTGAGGGAGGATTCGCGGAGCAAGCCCAGGTCTAAGGCGCAGGACAAGGCCCAGACGTTCGCTATCCTGGATAATTTCGACGATCTTGCCCCGCGTTGGCTCGGCTTTTCACTCGATTCCTGAAATTTGTGATTAAACATTTAGAATCTAAGAAAGCGGCTTATTCTTCTATCAAGTGACTTTAGTAAGATATCAGAAACATTGACGTATTAATTGAGATATTAACACTAAGAATTTCTTATAATCACTTATTTTCTGTACGGATGTTGCGAGTTGTGTTACAATTCCCAATCCCCAAATTTTAATATTATACATCAATGCGACATGAGATTTTATTGCTGTGGGAGGACATGGAAAACGAAAAATAAGAAAAGTCTTCAACAATTAATCTGGACGGCTAGAATATTAAGTGTCGAATATTCTCCCGGAAAGTAACAGTCGTTATAACACCTTCCTACCGATAGCATGAACATTAGTCAAAGTTAGACTCGAGTAAAGAAACAATTTGTTTATTAGTTCGACTGATCTCACACGAATCTCACGAGCGATGATCGATCCGTTGTCACGAGCCAGGTTCAACGATCCCTTGCGCAAACAATCTCGCGCATCTTAGTATCGTATTTATAATAATAATCCTTCTAAAATATCCAATTGTCTACATTACATTATATTAGTAATGCGATATTTACATTATTCCCAAGAAACTTCGCATGGCGGTTGTGGATCATCATTAAAATAAAATGACCTATCTCGAGAGTAAATCTTGCCTCCTAAAATTAAAATTCGTGTCGTTCATGGCGCAATTACGAATGATCGAATGATCGCCGCGGGAGAATATGCGGCACGTGAAATTGCATCAGCGGCGCAACACCGGAAGTGAGAGACGCACGGACGGAGAGTCTCTCCATAATCCGGGACGTGTTTGCTTATTTCGTAATTACGAGAGAGTAAAGTGTATAAAGAAAATGTATTGGATCGCGTCGCATCCGTGAGCAGATTTCCCACGGGTAAACGTAACTCGCAACATTGACAGAGTCCCGGTGTCCCGGGGTTGGGGAAAAGGGGCACCGCGAAAGTTTCGCAGCTCTGGTATCTCATGTGCGCGCGTACCCGTGTGTGCGCGCGCGCGCGCGCGCGCACAGATACGGGTGTATGTGTGCAAAAATCTCGTCTCTCAAAGAGAAACAAATTGAGGTCGTGGGCGCTTGATTAAAATTAAACCTAAATTAATCCCTCCTTCAGCCTTCTCCTCGGCCGCGCGTCGCCGCCCGCGGTAAACACGCGGTTTTCATATTACCGCGCCGTGTCGAAGAGGGTAGGTCTCTCGAAACGAGAAGTAGTACTCTCGCGGCGAGACGAGCACGCTCTTGATCGCGGCGTAATATTCGCGCGCGGCGCAAACATTGCATTTATATCCCCCCTTTTGCCCTCGGTAGCTGCACGCACTTTCGTACTTGGCATGCGTATCCGGAGTGCGAGCTCCCCCCCCCCCCCCCCTCCCTCTCTCTCTCGTAATACTTCCCGGAAGTTTACGAAGACCTGAATTAAGTATGAAGTCATAAGAAATGTAGATGCGCTACAAAATGAATGTCCGCTGCGAAGTCGGCGCGCGCGCGCGACTCTCCTTATTCGCCGACAATGCATTTTAGCGCATTAATCGCGACGGCGCAGCGACGCGAATAATAACGCGAAAACGCGCGGACATTAATAATTCCGCAGGCTACGTTTCAACACGCGATTTAATATTTTATCCTTGGGTAGAGAAGATTAATTAAGCACTTCTCATATATCTATGTATGCACATAGGTATGTATGTCCATGTGTATATGTGTCAGTATAGGCATTACGCAATTATCTTATTTCAAATTTTGCACTTCGGAATATTTGTATTTACGTGGATTTATCTCGCGGCTCTAAAAAAGAAAGAATTTTAACGGTAAATATTTTTACCGGCTGCATCTGACTCGGATTTCCCTTCCCTTTTTTTTTCAGTTTCTGCTAAAGAAGAGTCGACTCTATATTCTTCAGGGAATCCGTAAATATTTGATGCGTTAAAAGTGTAAGATTGCGTATATGACACACGTGTAATTCCACGTCTATATATAACCGAGAAGTCAAGATAAAAAGTATCGCTTAGAGACAAGAGAAGAAATCAAGCAATTTGCATGGGGCATAAATATTTCAATATCAGCGGGGCGGGCGGCACTGCGCTCCCCCATGAAAACCGCCCTCTTACTCCACCCTACCTATTCTACGGTAATTGCGGCGTGTCCGCGCCGCAATGTCTTATTTCAAATAAGCAATCGATAAAATAAAATATAAGCGAGCTTGGGAAAAACGTTGCCGGCGTGCAGGCGCGCTGCTGAATCACACGATAATTGCATTATTGCTACGTGACGTGAAGAGGCGTAATTCGGAGCCGCGGTTAGAGCCCGCGTCGCCGACCGGGCGACGCTATTTTCGGCGGAAACAAAGGTAATTTGGACAATGCGCGAGTTGCATGCCGCGCGACCCGCATTCGCCCCTTTAAATAGCGATCCGGCCCCAGCTCGCGGGGTGTCGCGCGAAAGAAAGAGAAAAGGGAGATGACGCACGTGGCGCACGTGGCGCCTCTAAAACGTGGGGCGTCTAGAGGCCGGTTCGCGACGCACGGTCGACCTGTTGAATGGAAAGCTCGTCATTAGCAGTTTTACGCGAGCGTAAAACCTGGCGGCAGTCCGCCCTTCCGATTGCACAGCAACAGTCGCGTTAATCTCGGTAACGTTGCGTCTCGCGGTGCGTCGCGGGTCAAAAAATTACGCGGTCCACAGTCTTCGGCTGTGGGGTCTTCGACGGGGTCTTGAGACGCAGACTCTGCATTCGTGCAATTTTATGCTTTGCAGTTTGACATCAAGGCGACCGTTCACGATTCTACTCGCACTCGCGAGTACTAAAATAATTGCCTTCACCGCCCATAATATTATTTCGTTAAATCGGTTACGAATTTATTTCTTCGCTCCTCGTACAATCATAACGCTCCGATTGCTACTTAGCGTATTTAAGGGGACGGAGAACGTGCCGTGTAAATTTCAGATGTTATTTCCTTTTGCTAAACCTTTCATTGTCTGGTGATTAAGCATTTACAGATGTAAGCGTCAGTTGCCGGCGCACGCAATTCCCGTTACGCTCGCCGACACGCGGACGTTTCTGACTGCTCTTCCATTAATTGTCGAATTACGTTCCTGATTGCGATACTAAAAGTGAAGAAAATTCAAGGAGCGCCAAATTGCGCAACCTAATCGGCCTCTGGACTCGCGAATGCGGAAACAGCCGCGGGGGAGCGATAAATGAATCGGGGTCGGCGGCGACGGCGCGCGGTCGAGATCCGAATCGCCCTTTAAATAGCCACGCGGAGGGTTGGCGAGGGCGTGAAAAAAAAATAAAAGACGAGAGAGAGAGAGAAAAAGAAAAAGAGAGCGGGAGGGCGAGGCACACACACGGGGGCGCGCGCTCGCGCACACACAATTCACATGGCGCCTCCAAAGGCATTTCTCGAGGTCGCTCCGCTCCGCCGGGGTCGACCTGATGAATGGAAACGTCGGTATTATTGTGTTTACACGCGGGACACACGGGTGCCTCTCTCGCCACACTTGGCGTGGAAACATTCCATTCATAAAGCGTTCCGCGCGTTCCTCTCACCGCCGTACACGTATGCACATGCACACACGCAGACACGCAGACGGGGGGAGGGGGTAGAGGGTACACGACCCTCTGCCTACCGCGCGGGGGTTGACACCAGTGACGTATTCAGAATTTCGTTGTCGCGTCGCGCCGCGCCGTGGGGCGGCCCCGGCCCGCCCCAAGATAAAGCCGCGCGGTGATTTTCTCGGCTCGTGATAATACACCCTAGGCGCCCGCCCTTACTTCGGGGCCGAAAATAATTCCTCGCTCCATTACGCGGGAAAACGGAGAGAGATTCCCGACGTGCCGTCGCTCGTGTACGCGCGCCTAGCGACGAGGCGACCCGATCGAGGACCCGAGGACCGATTTTTGTTTATCGTCGCGATCGCCCCCCCCCCTCTCTCTCTCTCTCTCTCTCTCTCCCTCTTTCTCTCTCTCCGTTCCTTGTCTGACCCGTGTGTATCCCCTGACTACTTAATCTAAGTATATTAATTTCTCACGTGTATCTCTCGTGCGCTGGATCGAAAGTGAACAAAGGACCATGCGAAGATTCGAGTATTTGTCTCATAATTTCTCTCTCGCAATTAGTACGTCCGATCCATTTAAATATACAACACCCGTACAAGTTACACTCCAGCCCTTCCGTCTTTGTGACGAATGTAAAACATAATAAGTGTTATTATTCCCGATATTCTTGTGTTTTCGCTCTCTCACTCCATGCTTACAATCTCTCCTTACGACCGTAATACATGCTGAACCGCGTAGGATTATTTTTCAAATTATTCCTCAACGCGGAGCACGAGAGAACACGCGAGATGGAAGGGTGTGAAATTTTCGCGGAGGTGAGGAAGGGGGTTGCCGGGGCGCAACCACTCTTACTCGTAACACATCGCGGTAATTTATAACGACAGGTGTTCCCGGTCTGGTCCCCGTCCCGTCCCCTCGTCCACCTCTACCGAGAAAAGGCGTCAACCGTAGCGCCGCCAGCCCTCGGCTGGCGGTGGCAGCAAAGGAATGCTCTTTTTCGTCGCGTGCCTCTCAAAGTCTTTAAACTGAATGATCACGCGTGCGAGCCTGTCGCCCTTTCGCTTCTTTTCGCACTCGCGTCGAGTTTGGCGCCCGAGAGCGGCGTCAAAAGTGCGGAACGCAACTCGCATTCCAGTGTCGATCGCGAGTGCGAGCTGAATTGGTACCGGCTCTGCATTCTCCGTGAATTTTCATAGATTCGAACATACGCGGGTATTACGTGATGCTCGAAATATATTATACGTTCGCCGGATATACACCGTGCAAAATTCCAATATTTATGAAATATAATATAAATTAGATATATCTGGCATATTTTAAATTTCGTAATCGATCTATGACCAAAAATAACAAGGATTCTTTCAATGCTTTTGACATCAATGGGACGTAACGCGAGTATTCCAACTCCGAGACCCGGTGCTTCAGACATTCA